TATATGTGTAGTGAAACCAGGAAAACAAATGTGGGGCCCTGGTCAAAAAAATATCCTGCCCCTTTAACCCACCATTCTTAATTATTCCCGCTTATCTCTGGTCTCCTCAATTTCCTAGACTGCTGTATGAGTGTCTTGTGACAGCTGTGGGAGAAATGTCTACATCTGAGATACACTCATCTTGCATAGCAGTCAACGGAACATTATAGAACATTTGTGAATTGCCTCATAAAAGTGAACAATTTTTTTTTAAATTGCCCCAGAAGATGCTGACATTTGCTGACACTTGACTAAGGGTGGTCCTGAGTTCAGAACAGTCCTTTCATTTTGAATAAAAAATAAATGAAACTGCTGCACTCATCAAAAATTAGTCTAGAAACTTAGTGTGGAAACTTGATTATATCTTTTCCTCTTTGCCACAGATTTTGACCATAATGTGACATATCTCAACTCTCTATTTAAACAGGGTTGGTAATACAATGATGAAGCTGGGCAAAAGGAAAAGTAAACCAACATTTTTTATATTGATTCCAATTGGCTTGCAATTAATACTCCTTGACAATTATGAATACAAAATAGCTTTGGGTGCTAAACCTCAAGAAAATTATCTAGCCACTGATGCAAGAAATGGGGCTAGGTAGGTAACAAAGGTTTAACCCAAACTTAAACACGGAAAAAGTCAGAGATAATCTCAAAGAAGAATGAAACTAAACCTGAAATCGGTTTGAGGTTTAGCCTTATTCTTCTTTTAGATTCTCTCCCACATTTTCTGTACTCCTAGACCATTGACCTCAAAAAGTATTCTGTCAAGAAGTAGCCAAGTGTGTTGTGCAGGAATACACTGAGACCCAAGGACATCTTTGAGCAATCAAAATAACTAACTAAATAAATACGTAAAAATAAAAAATGAGAATGGGTCCCATGGACATGACTGGCTACACTTTCCCACTGCATGTGCATAAGTAAAAGGACAGAACTGACCTGGTGCTTTGCATTGTCAACACAATCCCTGCAATGAATGCAAAGTAGTGTTGTGTGTCTTTTCACCCAGTCGTTCACATATGAAAAACAAATCTAATTCTCAAGGTTTCCCAGTAAACATTTTTAAGCAGGTTGCATCTACTTGTGTATCATCTATTCCCCGGTGTCCATACTCAGGAGTATAGTTTACAATAATAAAGCAAGCACTTAACATTTAGCTTGGGTGTATATATTGCCAGGGATTTAATATCAATGTTATTCGGAAACAAGCATAGATTAAACACCAGAGGGATGGCTCTTGCATTTTTATTTCTGGAATAACTGTTACTCCTGATCCCTCGCTGCAATCCGACATATGAACATTTAGCACCTACACAAATCAATAAGTGCTTTAGAGTTTGTTCCTGAGCTCGCTAAATTATGCTTTTGGGTTTGCATTTACATAAACAATCAAATATATCCTGTAGGTGAAACTATTGCTGAAAAGTTAAAGTTAGAGGGAGCAGTGTTTGTAAGATGCAAATTTATATTGGAAAGTATTTTAAATTTAATTATTCCAATTAAAAGTTTAGATTTATTTTCACCCCATAATTCCTTTTGGTAGAAATATATCATCACCTCTCTGTAGCAGTTTTAATGTCAGAATAAATTAATTTAGACTTTAATTGGTAGTTATTACTTCTAGGCATTGGTAAATTAGAACTATTAAAATCTCATGGAAATCTATTTTTATTGTGGAAAATGTTGAGCCTTTTTGAGCATCTTAGTTGTGGATTGCAAACCTGACAACAATGATGGATAACACTGTCACTCAAAATGCTTGTGAACTACAATTCCTATGAGGTTGAGCCAGACTTTAGAAAGAGGCATGGAAAAAAAATGAAATAAGTAAAATTTAAGGTACATCTAGTGGTATGAATTGACCTTTTTTTTATTGGATCATTACTCTAAGCAATCTGTGCCTTCTGAAGCCAGAATCACCTTTTTATAGGGTGAAGGATAAAAAAAACCACTTGTCACAGGTCTATTCATCAAACATAAGCCATATGAGAAGGTATTTGAGTTTATTTGCTTTAAACTATAGCAAATAAAATTCAGAATGGAAAAATATATGCTAAAGTTGCAAAACTGCATTGAACCTTAGTTCAACCTTAGCTGCACTGAAGAATTTTTACAAATCAGCTTTTTTTGACTTTCAGATTTTAGATAAGTCTCATTACTTTACAATCTATGTTTTTCTTTTATTTATTTTTTTAGTTTGCATGTGCAGTCACCATTTCATTGGCCAACATAAACAGATCACCATAAAAGTGTTTAAATTAACATAGCTACGATATCTTTTTCATTATGTGATAACCATATTCAATCCTCAAATTCTAAAGCAGTCAAACATAAGAAAACAAGTGAACTACTTACTTTGTTTTGGAAATGTACAGAAATAGAAATATCTAGAATGATACCATTACCATAAGATAAGTGGTCAGGTGGAAATTAAATTGGATTTTTGCTTTGAAAATGTTGCATACTTATTATTATTATTTTTTACTTTTTTACTCTATCTCTATTTATATGTTCAGTTTATCTGCAGATAATGATTGCAGGTATACTTGTTTAGTACTAAACATATCCGTGTTGAGTAATAGTATGTATTTTTATATTTGGATTTTTAATGTTTACGTTGTATAAGGTATGTTTTATGGACAATGCATTATACAAATTACAACATATTGTTACATATTGTTATAGTCTAGCACCTGTTGTTGTTAGGGTCTAGAATTGGTCATTTTATATTACAATAACACAATTTTATGAAATAGGATACAGATGTTCATTGTATGACCCAATTACACTCTCCCATTCAGGACAGTATATTTTAGGGTCTTTGTTAATTTACCGTAATGATCATTTATCATGTCTTCGAATGTCAAAGCACCAGTAACTTACAGCCTTGTTGAATATGTTCAAATTTATATCAATAGCATAGTTAAACTTGCTCTTGTGATTTGTAGACCTACTTCTATGAATTTTATATCCCCCTAACCTACAAAGTACGCTACATCAATATTTCAATGTTGCACTCACAGATCTGTGAGTGCAACATTGAAATAGGGGTTTATTATGACTAACGTAATTACCCTATGAGTTTTCCTTTCTCCATTTTTGTTCTTAGGTATATCTTGTTTTTCCATTTATATTGAGGATCGAGAGGAATCATTTTGTCATACCTAAAACCCAAAAAGAGTAATTACCTTTTTGTATTTATTGTTTACACACTGCACCTTGGAGGTTCATACCTGTTTTCTTTGAATAATGCTACATCAATATTACATCTGTTACGTTACCTCTCGTTCATCCTTGTTACATTCTGATTGCATCTTTGGTCTATCTGAAAGCTATATATACATCTACTTATATGAATACAAGGCAGATAACTAACAGGCAAGTGTGCATTAGGGAACAATAAGGACACTGGAGAATTTGAGAGACACGGGGGGAAAAAGACAGGTCTAGCAATTCCCGAATTTCTCCAGAATCCTGAGATATGTTTACCATAATACATTCTCCAATGTTTTGTAGTATTTATATTTCATGATAATTTACCATTAAGGTTAAGGTTAGGGTTATGGTTTACTCTTAAAGGAGCATAGGAACATACATGTCCCAGTCTGCTTAAAACAGGCCTGGAGTTACTCCCCTGTGTGGCCTCTGCCATTTGCAACTGGCATGATTAATTCAGCTCCTCATATAAATAATTTGAAGCTTGTAGCTCAATATGAAAGCCACAATACAGGAGACTCGCTAGTCTTAGTCTGACAATATCAGCTTAACCTATAGCAGCAGATCTTCCATATTGAAACCATTTACCTATGCATTAAATCATATAGCCATAAAGTAAATCTATCTTTTATCTGGCCATTGAGAAACAATGTAGTGGATTCTTCTAATTCATCCCTTTGGGTTATAGGTTATTTAACCTTTGTGTCTAGTAGGCCTCTTGTCTACGAAATTCAAAGACACAATCTCCAACTCTAATAGTGTCTTCAATCTGTTTAATACCAGTGAATATCAATGAGTGGAGAGGATGACCTGTCTAAGTGAAGTACCGCACTACCAATATATCTGAAAATCTACTACTTACAGACATGCACATAGAGGACCACTGTTCCTCTAATTCTTTCCCTCAATTCACTTGTGCTTTGATTTTCATAGGTTAGTCCACAATTCCACAGAATTTGTTAGATCAATCCGCAGATTGGTTGATATAACTATACTTTTACTAAAAAAAAAAACTAAAAAAAATACTAATAAACTTTAAATATGTTTAGATATTACATTGATAAGAATTCAATTTTTGACCATTATCATATAAGTAAGATTTGTGCTTTGGATGTAAAAAGTTTGGATGTATAAAGGAATGAGCTATATATATATATGGCACAAATGAAAAAGAAAAAACTAGCAATTCCAAAAATAATGACCATCCAGCCTAAAAAACATTTTAAAAGGGGGAGGGGCCGAACCGCCATGCGAAGTAGTCGCACAGAAGACCAGCTCCTACAATTTTCTGACATGTCTGTCCCAAAAAGCAGTTTGGCTCCTCACCTAGTTCTGAGACACAACAGGCAACTACCCAATGAAGTGTTGGCTCTGAGGATCGACTAGTAAACCAACCTCAGACTCCCTTTAGGGGATAAAACTAAACTATATGACCGAGGCCTACTCAGGCCTACTCAGACGGTGAGTGGGGTGGACTTCCGTTGCCCCGCTATCCTGCCTATCTGCAACATACTGTTCTCTTAAAACAGTGTGGTGGTTTCCCTGCTTTGCCCCCTTTGGGCCAGTGGGGGGTCATTCTTGCCTACCCTGGAGCCCTACTATTGCTTATCCTGATCGAAGAACTCACCTAATCTACAAGATGGTGGCTGAGTCTGATCTGCATTCCGTGGAAATGGTGGCACCCCCTCAGGGCTCTTGAGGCTCACAGCTTGCAAATCTGGGAAATACTATCCAATTGTCACATGTCTAACGAGGCCCAGTCTGGGGTGCTTCCAATCGACCCCTGCAGAGGTCGTCTACACAGCAAAACAGTTCCTGAGGTAATAGGATGGGCTGATGAGGCCCATGATGCTGAGCTATATCACCAATTTCTGCAGACAGCCCAACGGTGTTCCTGCACACCTCCATCTCTGCTACCATCCGACAAGCCATTCAACGGCATCAGAGGACTACACATAGATCATGAAGTGAAGCCGGTGATGGGGGTTGGAGCCTGCTGGTTATGGGGGTTTTTTGATCTCTGTTTGGGGATTGGGGTTGCCTCTCCTTGGGCTAATGAGCAGTTATGATAAGGGCCACTTCTACCTCTGCTGCCTCTGTTTTGGGGCCCAGAGCTCTCTCATCATTGTGGCATGTTTTCCTCAGCCGTATCTTCTTTTAAATATACACTTTCCCATGCCATTTTGCTTATTATATTCTTTTTATCACTTTACTTACTTTAAGTTTTGAAATAGAAAGACAACAAGATCAGAGGATATCTGACTCGTGGTCTAAGAATCGGTCAATGAGGCAGAGAGGGCATAACCCTAAATAGAATATATTAGAAACAGACGAATAAGGTAAGGAACCAACCTCAAAGAGGTAGGGACCAACCTTACTGAAAATACTTTACAAAACTTAGTAGTCGCTCCACAATCACACTATCGGCTAAAGGGTATTCCCCCCCTCTCTCCATATACCGGTTCAAGTCCCTGGCCGGAGACAGATAGTAGTCCAGAGAAATAAGAAATATTACATTTTTTTTTCTTCTGGAGCTCAATTATTAGTTAAGTAAATAACATTTTATACAAATAAATATATTTGTTACAAATGATCTATCTATCTATCTATCTAGCACAGTTCACCTGCTCTCCTCTATCTTCTGCTTCAAGACAGCCTGAGATTTTACATAAATAGCCCTGAGTATAGTATCCTCAGAGAAGTGTAAGAAGCATAATCAAAGTAAAAATAAATTCCCCCTCTTAGACAAAGTGAACTAAAACATATGTGCATCAGCTCAAAAAATGATGGACGTGCGTTTCGGTGATACTGCATGCCTTTGTCAAGAGTAGACAAAGGCGTGTAGTATCGCCGAAACGCGCGTCTGGCTGACTGCTTATGACGTGTAATATTAGATTTGATTCCTTATCTTGATTGTACTATAATATATACATCCTCGTATGAGATTTAAGGTAATTAAGCATTCTTAGGCTCCACTTTGTTTTTTTTGTTTTTTTAAAACCCTCTCCACTACTCATCTATCAAGGTATTTACTTCCCTGCTCTTCTTTATTCTCTTCTTCTATTTACTCTATTTTAACCACAAGTTCTCTATATATAGTTTCTAATAAAGTTTTGTAATTTTACAATTAGATTTTTCTTGCTATTACCTTTGAATGGCCAATTATGAGGTATTTTCAGTAAGGTTGGTCCCTACCTCTTTGAAGTTGGTTCCTTACCGTATTTGTCTGTTTATAATATTTACTTTAAGTTCTACTAGCAATAAATGTACATCTTAATATACCATAATTTCTAAAAAGGTGCAGTGATATAGACATATAGTGATTTTTTTTTTTTTTTAGTTAACACTTTCTGATGCTCTTACAATGTCTTTCTTTTTCTGTGACAATTGCAATGCACTACAAAAAGAAAGAATTATTAAAAAAAATATGACAAGGTTTGTGCGATAAGTGTATAAACTATTAGGAAAACACTTTGCCATGAGATCAGTTTCTGTTAATCAAGGCATGTTGTCTACTACTCATCACAAAAATTCCAAAGTGATGATGGCCCACATTCATTACATTGCTTGCTGCACTTCTTTCAAGTTGTTTGGAATGTGTTGAGGGGGAAGAGGGGCTGTAGTTGGAGAAAAAGTGGTATACGTCCTCTTGTGAAGAGACAGTGGCTGTAGTAGGTAATAGGAGCAAAGGGGGTGACAAGGGATGCGGTAGGTGGAGTAGGGGATTTGGGGTAAAAGCAGCTATAGCGGGAAGACAGGGGTTATGTTGGGAAGAGTAGGGACTGTATTGGTGGAAACTGGCAGTGGTGTGTGGATAGTGTCAGTAGTGAAGGGGCATGCGCTGTGCCACATGTGCTGTTGTGTGAGTGAAGGCTGGATGGTAGGGGCTGTAGTGGAGCGACAAGTGTTTGTAGTTAGGGTTAGGAACTATAGTGGGGAGATAGGGGCTGTGGTATGGGAAATAGTGGCTATATTGGGAGGACATTGTCTATGGTGGCAGGGATAGGGCTTTGATGAAGTTAGCAATGTAAATACTAACAGGGTTATTCACTAAAGTAAGGATTCATGGTGAATTCAAAGTGAATTTTTCAAATATTTACGTCTAAGAAAGAGGCACATTCTGTCTGATATCTGCAGCAACATTTTGAGGTTTCAGGAAATGTATTGTTAAGAGTCTGTGTTATATAGTACACAATCTTATAGTTGGATTGCATTTTTTTAGTATAGCAGTGGTGCACGATATTGAATATTTTGCCACTGTGCTTGGGTCAGGTCAGCTCATCTAAAGGTCCTAAGTCCAAGAATTGTGCAAGGTTGGAAGAGAAGGTTAATCTGTCTGTCTGTCTATCTCTACTGTCTATCTCTATCTGTCTATCTGTCTGTGTATCTATCATCTGTCTACTTATTTAATTATTGTATTATGTTATTTTATTATCTTTGTCTCCAAATCCTAAGTGACTGTATGGGCTGGATATTCCATTTCATGACACATTATAGCTTGAAGCACCCTTACATTTTCCAAAAAATAAAGTTGCAAAGTTATTGTCATAAAAAAATAGATATTCCCATCCTATGCCATGCATACCATATGTCCAAAAGGATTAATAAGTATATCAACAAACAATATCATATCTCTTCGTCAATTCTGTATACACCAGCATTTACATTTTACAGTATACTTTGTCTGTCTGTCTCCCAGCATAACTATCTATGTTTTCACTTCAAAGTTTAATTATTGTGCTACAATATCACAACAGCATTTTATCTTACTTCCTTTGAGGACAAAACAAGGGAAAACCTGGAAAACATCAAGGGTTTTCTGTCTTCAACAAAAAGCGATTAATTGGCAAAATTCTATTCTTTTTCCAGGTGCACTAGAACACAAACAGCTGCTAGGGAGGGATACATCCCTGGCTGTAGACACACCATGTGGATTACTGCGCACATGCGTTTGAAATCTATTTTTGTACTTAGCTTTCATATTTTAACATATTATTTAAGAAATATTACATTTTTTTTTCTTCTGGAGCTCAATTATTAGTTAAGTAAATAACATTTTATACAAATAAATATATTTGTTACAAATTATCTATCTATCTATCTATCTTTTATCTATCTATCTATCTATCTATCTATCTATCTGTCTATCTATCCATCTATCTATCTAGTATATGTCTGTATTTCTGTCAATCTATCTATCTATCTATCTATCTATCTATCTATCTGTCTGCTTGTCTGTCTATCTCTCTATCTATTTATCTGTCTGTCTGTCTATCTATTTATCTATCTATCTATTTATCTATCTATCTATCTATCTATCTATCTATCTATCTGTATGTCTGTCTGTCTATCTCTCTATCTATCTATTTATCTGTCTGTCTGTCTATTTATCTATCTATCTATTTATCTATCTATCTATCTATCTATCTATCTATCTATCTACCTATCTATCTATCTATCTATCTATCTATCTACCTATCAATAGTTGTAAAGCTGAGCCAGTGAAAACCCCCACGCTTATGATGTAACTCTGAAATTAATATGAATAAAGTAAGACCCGCCGTTGAATATGTGTTTCTCTCTCAGCAGTTGAGCTACAATAGTGGTTTCTAAACTTTTTATTTTTTACAGAAACCAACATTATGTACATGGTATTAGTGTAGCATGCCAGTTTTCACTTGTAAATGAAGCTCAGTGACCCACTATTTAAATGAAAGATAATATTTATTAATATGCTAAATAATTTCTTGTAGGCAGTAGGTCAGAATCCATGAAATATGCAGCACTTCTTCCAATTGGGAGGATACATTGCAAGTAAAATGTGAATCCAGTTTCAGAAACATGGAGATAAGGCATCTCTAACAATTACATTTTTCTGACCGGTCATTTCTCTTTCTGTTGATTCCCATCATAAGTGCACAATGAGGGAGATGTATCAAAAGGTTTCAGATTTAAAAAAGTGGTCTGATTCCCTAAAAGGAGAGTATCGCCACGGAAACACGTAGAACCTGCAAGCACACTTCATAAGTGACTCCTCCCCCTATATTTTTGCACCACTTTTTTTTAGAATAGAACACTTTGATAAATATCCTTATATCTCTGTTTACTGTCCCTGCACCAGCAACATTTAAATAAAGCCACACAGTGGCCTGCAATCTAAATGGTTGCATGCAAATCAGCACAAACATAAAATATTTTAATAGACTTTCAGGAATGTGAGTATCAAGGCATATATTGATTAATTCATATTAATTGTTTGAATTGCGCCTTGTGAAGTTCTCATTGACACAGTCGCCATGTTACAGTTTCTCTTATATGTTTCATTATTCCCCTAATACTTATTTGGTTACACTATCAATTAGTAGACATTGTATTACACATGTATTTAATTAATTACAAATGTTTATTGATGACTCTGCACAGGTTAACAAACAGAAAGCAGTAATGCAGCTTGTTTGACTTGTTTTTGCAGGATGCACACTGAGGCATTTAAAGCTGATGAGGCCAGGAAGTTAGAGTGGAGGGAAAATTTAGGGGAAGAATCTAGACTTTCAGTACCCTGGACAGTACCCTTAATTAACCAGCTTTGGGTATGTTGTTATTTTCAAGGAAGTCCAGTAAAAGTGCAGAACTAAAAAGATAAATCAAATAAAACATTTTATATTTATTTGTAGTAGTTACCACTTAAGTTGGAAGATGTTGTTAGAACGGGTTATCCTACAGAAAAATGTTGCAGTATTGGCAAAAATTGTGTACCAATCTCTAAAAGCAGACTTTAGATGACAATCCCTTTTGATTCATTAGTTAAAAAGACACTTTAAGCACCAAAACAATTTTAGCTTAATGAAGAGGTTTTGGTGTATAGTTCGTGCCACTGGAGTCTCACTGACAATTTATCTGGCATTGAGGGGTTAATTCACTTTGTATATGTAGCCACTCCTTCCCTGTCTGAAAGTCCCATAATCTCCCTACACAC